CGGCGGCGGCGGCGGCGGCGGCGGCGGCGGCGGCGGCGAGGGGCGGCGGCGGCTGTGGCAGTGGGAGTGGCGAGGATGGTGGGCGGGCGGAGCTCTTCAGAGGGCTCTCTACCGAGTCGGCACCTTGAGCAGCGCCTTTGCCTCGGGTAATCTCGGGTAATCTCGGGTAATCTCGGGTAATCTCTGGTAATCTCGGGTAATCTCGGCACCTTGAGCAGCGCCTTTGCCTGCCGCTCGAGGACCCTCCTCTCGCGCACGAGCCGCGCCGTCTCGCGCGCCTTGTCCGAGTCACGAACTACTCAGTCGATTGATGAATGAGTTCCCTCAGTCAAGCCGCGCCGTCTCGCGCGCCTTGTACGCCTCGAAGGCAGCCACCTGAGGGGTCCTCCTCTCACTCCAAGGGGTGGTGGGGCAAGGGCCAGGCAGTCCCTCGCGACTCCACAGCATTGAAAGTGCAAGGCCCAATGCGCGTGGGTGAGCGATGTGTGCGCGCGCGCGTGTGTGTGGTGATGTGTGTCTGAGTCTGTGTGCGGCCACCTCCTCCGCCTGCCGCTGCTGCTCCGCCCGCAGCGAAGCGGACCCTGACTGCTGCGCGAGCCGCAGCGCTGCCTGCAGCTCCGCAACCCTCGTCCGAAGCGCCGCAGCCTGTGGACATCTCTCCGACAGCTTATGGACGCGTCATGGACACGTCCAACCCTCGCCTCCGAGCGCCGCTGCCTCCGCCCCGGCCGCCTGTGCCGCCGCCCGAGCCTCCTCTGCCTCCCGCGCCGCCGCGGCGTCCTCAGCGGCGTGGCTGTCGCCGCCCTCCGGCGGTTGGGCGCGAGCGGGCGGCGAGGAGCAGGAGGGCACGCTGGAGAAGGGCACGTGCCTCCCCCCCCCCCCTCCTCCAGAGCCGCCTCCGAGCTTACCCGCGCCAAACAGCGCCGCCACGAGGGTCGACTGGGGCGGCGGCCCGGCGTCCTTGGTCGTCGCGCCCTGCAGCGGGAACGGCAAACTCTCTCTCTGTCTCTCTCTTCCTATCGCGGCAGCCGAGAGGCGGCGGCCGGCACAGCATGGAGGTACGAGGGTGTGTGAGACCGAGCCCGCTGACAGAGGGCCTTGCTTGTGTGCGCGCGTGTGTGCCGCTCCGCTGTGGCGGTCTCTCGCCCCGCAACGCCCGTCCACCGTCCTGGCGCGTGTGGTGTCTGTCTTCTACAAGTGTCTGTCTTTTGCCACGCAAGCCGCGCCTGCTGCTCGAGCGATGGCGGCGGCGGCGAGCCCGGATCGCTAGCCGGCGGCCCGGCCGAGGCAGCTCCCCAGCTGGCGAGCGGGGCGGGAGGCCGTGTCGACCTGGCGGAGGACGGCGAGGAGGAGGCGGCGGTGAGGACAGTGGCGGTGGTGGGGGCAGCGGCGTGAGGACAGCGCGGTGAGAGCAGCGGGGCGAGGGAGCATGTGGCTTGATCTCGGCTGCATCTCAGCTGGATCTCCGCTCCATCTCGGCAATCTCTCGCCTCAACGGCCGCAGGCGCGACGGCGAAGGAAGACGGCCTCGCGGGCTCATTGAGAACTCCGCAAACCCGTCGCTGTCGCTGCCGGCTTGGGCGTGGAGGCCGCCCGGGCTGTCGCCGGACTCGCCGTCGCCCACGTCGACGTCGCCGCAGCTCTCGCCGCAGCTCTCGCCGCAGCTCTCGCCGCAGTACCCGTGGCCGTGCTCGCGGCTGCTGGAGCCGCCGCCACCGCCGCCGCCGCAACCGCCGCCTCTCACCTCTGCAGGACGAGTGCCGCTCGGCGCGCGCGGCGGAGGTGGAGGAGGCTCTCCCGATCCCTCGGCGGATCCCGCGGTGCACTCGGTCTGCAGAGTCTCCAACACGCGCGCTGAGAGCCGCTCGCCCTGTGCCGACGCAAGCTCCAGCGTTGGCGGCGCAGAGCCGTCACTGAAGGCGTCGACATCGCGAGCCGGCAGCACCGGCGAAAGCAGAGATGACTCGATCGCCTCAAAGTCGTCCGGCCTCGCCTCTGCCCGCCGGACGGGAGAGTTTGGCGGGAAACTGGGCTCTCGATGCCTGCGCCGGGGCTGAGAACCAGGCCTCGCGCCGCCGCCGCCGATCGCCTTCTCTCGAGCGGCTTGCTTCTCCAGCGAAGCTCGCCGGGCCACGGCCAGCCCGCCCTTGTCGTAGCGCGAGGTGCCCTCGCCACGACGCACAAAGGTGAATGGCATGCAACCGTTGTAATGCCTGGGTTCCGGCTCCTAGCCGGATAGGGGGTCTGCCGCCACTAACTCGCGCCAAAACGCCCTACCTACCTACCTATCCCCAGGCCGCGCAGCGAAGCGAAAAAAGATTAAAATAGCGGGTACCTACCTATTGCAGGGCCCTTTTGGGCGAAACAAGACCAACCTACCTACCTATCTGGGAGGGGCCAGCCAGTCAGTGGCAACAGACAGGCCCCCTATCCGGCTAGGAGCCGGAACCCTGGGGGGAGGCAAGATTCGAGAAAAAGAATTCTTGACCGCTCACAGCACACAGGAAAAGAATTCAAAACGCTTGCCTTTCCTTTGCGGAAAACGTATAGAGCTACATACTCGAGTAATACACTTGAGCACTTGAGCACTGGATAGGGTCGATTCCGCATGGTACGGGACCCCTCGATCGTCTCGCCCTCACTGAGAGTTCTGTGGTCAACGGGCGTTCGACCACACCACCGGCCAAGGCTACGTCAAGTCACAGCGTGGCCACTACCATGACGGTTGACGGGATCTTCGGCAAACGAAACAAGTTCAACCTGCTTCTCCACGAGACATTCGGCGGTGGCTTCTCGCCGCCAGCAGTTGCAAAGCTGTTGCAAAGACCATAATGCGGAATCGACCCTATCAAGTGCTCAAGTGCTCAAGTGCAAAGATCAACCGCCTTGCGCGCAAGGCTCAACGCTCGGGCGTTGACCGCACCGCGTACCCTCCCCACTCCCGCCTCTCATTTGTGTCACACCACGCGGAACGCATCTCCATCGCTTCGGTGAAGGGGGTGAACCGCGCCATCCTCGATCGCCGTGCAAAGCTCGCTCGCTTCCAAGCTCTCACGCCGCGCGTAGGGCCGTTAGGGGCCTAGAGAACACAACCCCCCCTCCCTTTTCTCCCAGTAAGTAAGCTAAAAGTACATACATACATACATACACTGAGTCTGAGAGAGAGAGCGAATAAAAGTACGTACGTACTGGCGAGGTACTCCCACGCCTCTCGGGGTTTTTGTTTGGCCGAGTCAACCCGAGGGCGAGCCTGGGCGAGACTGCGTCAGCTGTTCCCACAGCAGGCTGGAAGTGCCTCGCCAGCGTACGTACACTGAAAACCACAGAACCGCCCTTCAAAGCCCGGCCGGACGGAGCTAGGGTCACGCAGTCCGCCGGCCCCGCTGTCCGCCGACGATTTGCGGCGACATTGCGTCATGTGGCCCGCCGGCCTCCGCCTTCTCGTCTACGCCTACGTCAGCCTTCGCCTCCTCGACGACACGGCGCTGCTGCTGCGCATCTTCAACCTCGGGATGCTCTCCGTGCTGCCGCGGCGAGACGGCTCTCTCTGCAGCCTCTGCGACGAGATAATGTCGCAAGGGCTCATCCCAGGCGCGGACGGCATCGACGCGCTCCCGTGCAGCTGGCTGTGCCTCCGCGTGTCGCCGTGCGTCCGGATGTGCGAAAGGGTCAAAGAGGTGTCGCGAACGTCGGCCGAGTTCCCTTGCATTGCGGCGGGCTACTGCGTGGACCCGGACCGGGACGTGACGCTCACCGAGGCGCTGACGGTGGACGGATGTCACGTCGCGCCGCCCTTCCGCTGCGTCCCCTCCGAGCAATGCCGCCTGAGGCGGCAGGGACTCGGGTTCTCCTGCGAGCTCCGTCCAGGGCTCGGGCGGTGGATCGGGATGCGCGACGGGGTGCGGCGGCACGCGGCACTCGTTGTGGACGCCCTCTACGCGCAGCCGCGGTGCGGTGAGCTCAACGAGAGAGACTTGTCGGCGGGCGCGGCGCGGTGGTGCATCGCGTCGCCGCGAGGCCTGGGAGCCGTCGCCGAGTCTGCAGGCCTGGCCATCGCGCTCGGGTACGGAGGGCTGCAGACGGTGCGTGCGCTTGAGACGCCTGGCGGAGACGATGACCGGCAGTGGCTCACCTATTGGGCGATGCTCGCGCTCCTCACCACGCTGGAGCAGTGGGCGCGCGTGCTCCTCTCGCGAGTGCCGCGGTACTATGAGCTCAAGCTCCTCCTGCTCCTCTTTCTCGTCCACTCGCACGGCTCGGAGCGGCTCTACCGCGTCGTGAGGCGGCATCTCCGCGCCGCCCTCTCCCTGATCGGCGCGCGGTGGCTGCGGCGGCGCCTCTTCGCGGCCGGAGCAAAGGCCGAGCTCGCCGCGCTGCCGCAAGAGCTACGCGAGGCGCGAAGGGCGCGCCGCCGCCGCCGCCTGGCGGAGAACACCTGGCGGCGGCGGCGGTCGGCGACAAGCGACGTCGTCGGGGCCAGAGGAGGCGGCGACGGCGGGGCGGCTCGCGCGGGTGAGAGCAGCGAGGAGGGGGAGGGAGGCGATGCGGCCGGTGAGGCGGAGGAGGAGCTGCGCTCGACGTACCTCTGGCTCGCCACCTCGGACGGGCTCAAGGCGCTCGAGCTCTGCGCCGCCTCTGAGGCGCGGCGGCGCGACTTGCAGCTCAAGGCCGCCGAGGCGGCCTCCTTCCAGCCTCGGTACGTCATAGTCCACATCTATGGCGTCTGCGACGGCGCCGACCTTCCTCCGGTGGACGGTCCGGGCCGCGCGGACGCCTATTGCACACTGCGGCTCGTCTCTGCGAGTGGCGAGGAGGTGGGGTCCGCCGCCTCTTCTCGCGTTTGCTACCGGACGACGGCTCCGGCGTGGCGGCAAACGCTCGAGCTGCCCCTCGCCGGAGGGACGATGCGCGCCGGCTTTTTTCGTAATGAGCACGCGGCCAGCCTCCGGCTCCGCGTCGACGTGATGGACGCGCAGGTGGGGCCAATGGGCTGGCTGCTCAACGTATCTCAGCTGGCGGCGGCGCTCTTCGCCTGCGGGCTGGGCGCGGCGTGGGCCAGCGGCTTTACCGATACGTGGTCCCGTGAGCGCCTGTCTGGGCTCCGCGCCGCCGCCGTGGCGATCGGCGCGGCCGCGGCCGCCGGGCTGCTGGCGCACGTGCGCCTCCGCGTCGACGACCGCGCCATCGGCACCGCCGAGTGCGACCTCGCGCCCTGCCTTGACCAGAACGTGCACGAGGTGCACTTGCCGCTCGAGCCACTTGAGCCATCGGCGTCGACGACGCTCCAAGACCAAGTCCAGCCGGCGCAAGCAGCGTCGCTCAGTGGCAGGCTCGCCAGTGGGGCTAGCAAGGCCCCAGGAGTGCGCAATGCGCATGGGCAGCTCGGCGTCCTGCGCATCGCCGTGCACTATTCTGAGACTTGAGTGCTGAGACGTGATGTGCTGTGCTGCTGACCCCGCTGTGTGATCAAACAGAAAAACAAATCCTGGGGGGGAAAGGCACTTGGAGCACTTGGAGTGCAGTCAGTAACCGCACACCCAGGGCCGCGGGGAGCTGAGAAGCGCACCCAGCGGGCCGGATGATTGGCATCGGGTTGCGGGCAAGAGAGCCCTAGCCCCGGGGGTGCGCGTTCGCAGGGCAAGGGCCTTAAAGTAAACACAGTTCTCCGAGGGTTAGTACCGCGCTCCAGGTTTCCCCTAGCAGCAGAACACGCCCCCTCTACCCTCGGAGCTAGTAAACACCAGACAAGGACACGCGACGACACACCCTCCCCCTTGGCGACGGCGTCGCCAATCACAGACCCTCCGCTCGGTCTCCCTGCCCCGGCTCCGGTGGGGTTCCCCCCCCCGTTCGGTCCGTTCTCCTGTTTGCTTCTCGATGGTTGTACGGCGGGCGCGGGGCCCGACCAGCGACCTCCCCTCCTAGCCTTTTTCGGCTGCGGCCCCGCCGCCGTCTCGTCTTCTCTGCCTGATCCTGTTGACTCCGCCTCCGGCGATCCCGCGCCCGACTCCCCGGGCAAAGGCGGTGGCATAGGGTCGCGTCGCCTCTCCGCCCAGGGAGGTCGGGCCGGCTCTCCCTGGTCGGCGAGTCGTGCCCGCACTCGCGGCCTCTCTATAGTCCCTGGCTCGCCCCCCTCTTCCGCCGGCTCCTCTACAGGCTCGGGGAGGCGTGGCCCTCCCTGTCGAAGGTCTGGCACTTCATCTCTTTTGTTCACCTAAAACCGCGACGCGCGACCCCTAACCGCACTCGCCCAATTGCCAACACAATACCCCGCTGAGAGAAAATCCGCTTCAGCCCTCCACCACCGCCGTGTTTGCTTAGCATCGCACACGTGCAGCTCTTCTCCCGTCTCCCTCGTGTCCACTATACTCCTCTATTACACGCGTGCGTCACGGCGTGTGCAATGAATGATACATGCACATGCACAAGCCACCTGGCCCGGAGCCCTGTGGCAGTGGTTGTGTGCTCCTTGAAGCCAGCCTTAGGCATCGGCCTTGACCGTCGTCTTCTTGCAAGTCAAGACGGCCGAGATGGTGTCCCACGACTCCCAGATCGGGACCACGCAGATCGCAAACGCGGCCGCGTAGCCCCACATGAAGACGACCGAGGCCCAGAGGACGTACATCGACTTGGTGAACACGCCCCACGTGATGACGGCGAGCGGCCAGATGAAGATGAGGAAGATTGTGTAGCCCATGCCGTACTTGAAGATGTACTTTTGGGCGGGCCCGAGGAACTCGTCCGACATCTCCTCGTCGGGCACGCCGAGGTCCTTGTCGAGCTCGACACGCTTGATGCCCTTCATGATCTCCCAGTCGAAAAGCTTGGCCGCTCCAGTGGACAGCTGGATCGCCGTGACGAGCTCCGACAGGATGAAGGAGGCGCCGAGGGCGGTCAGGGAGCCGGCGAGCTGCGCCTTGAGGTTGCCGAGCGTGCCAATGTCGAGTGTCCCCGTGTCGCAGTCAAACGAGTCCGCTCCTGCGCACTCGTCGTCGGGGTCCATGCCATTCGAGCATCGCGTCGCTGCGGTCGCGATCCACGCCACGATTGCCAGGATCATGCCGCCCCACGCGCCGGTGATAGCGCCGGCTGCGGTCATGCGCGGCATCAGGATACACGCCGCCACGGGCCACACGGCCGAGCCGATCATCGTGCCTGCGGGGACGGATACGACCAACATGAGAGGCACAAGTAGGGCTCGGGGATGCTGTGGCTGCTGCGGCGAGGCACGCGCGGTGTCAACGGTCGGGCGGCGGAGCGGGTCGATCTAGACGCCATACCCATAAAGTTGTAGACCCAGCCGAGGCCAAAGCGGTCGTCGCTGAGGCCGGCGGCGTACAGGCAGGTGCCGAAGCAGCCAGAGACGCAGCCGTAGAAGATGACGCCGTAGCGAGTCATCTTGAGCAGCTCCGCGCCGGTGCAGTCGGGCTTGACGTACTTGCGGTAGACGTCGTAGGCGAGCAGGGAGCCGACGGCGATGCACTCGGCCGAGCCGGTCGAGGTGATGGCCATGAAGAGCATGAGGACGATCATGATGCCGCCGCCCTTTCCGAGCAGCACGATGGCAGCGGCGGGCGGCGCCAGACCAGCACCCGCCTCGGAGCTGGGCATCTTGACGTTGAGTGCGAGCGACGAGAGGCCGAGCGCGGTGGCGAGCGCCATCGGGATGGTGAACCAGACCATGCCACCCAGGAGGTAGCCCTTGTGCGCCGCGGACGGGCGCGCCGCGATTGCGGACTGCCAGTAGGACTGGTCGACAAACACCGTGCCAAAGTTGCCGACGATGTTGATGATGCCGAACATAAGGCCGTCCATGGAGAGCATGGTGATGAAGGAGCCGCCGCGGTTGTCGCAGACCGGGCCGTGGTGGTAGTCGCCGTCGTGGTAGCACCCCGCGGGGTGGTCGAAGGAGTAGGTGTCGGTGGCGCTGTTGTAGCCGGTGGCGCAGCCGACGCTCTCTCCCGCGAGCCACGGCGTCGCGTCGGGGCAGCCGCACTTGATGGTTGCTGGCATGCCGCTGTCGAAAACTGAGTAGTCCGATCCGGTCGAGCACTTCGTGCCGTTGGAGAAGAAGCAGTCAGTGCGCATGTTGACGACGTTGGTACCCACGGCGCCCTTGAGACCGCCCTCGGGAGTGGCTGCACCCATCCTAGGCAGAGCGGTGAGGAAGGCGAGGCGCTCCCACAGGATCGAGGCCGAGCCGAGCGCCTCGCACTGCTTGGTATGATCCTCCGTGCACTCGGCCGACTTGTATCCGGAGGTGCAGAGGCCGTTGAGCGCGTCGCACTCGTAGTCGCCCGGGACCGCGTACACGTAGGTGATGAAGACCACGAGGCAGATCATGATGACGGCGGTGTGGATGTACGAAGCGAGGAAGGTGGCCTTGAGGCCGCCAAACCAGGTGTAGAGGACCACGCCGAGCGGGATAAGGAAGTTTGCGGCCACCGGGTGCATGCCCGAGCAGGCCGTCATCACCGCCGAGCCGCCCTGGAGCAGCATGCCAGTCACGATGAGGTTGGTGCTGATGCCGAAGAAGAGGAAGGTCAGGTGGGCCGCCTTCCCCCAGCGGATGTCGACCATCTCGAGGAAGGTGTGCATGTTGGGCGCCTTCTTCTTGATCTCGATGGCGAGGATGCCAAAGAGGAGGATCTGGATCGTTGCGCCCGCGGCGTACCAAAAGGGACCTGCGATGCCGTACTGGCTCGCCTGGTTTGACGACTGGAGGAGCGTCGCCGCCCACGTCCACTGGGATACGATCACCTGCGCGGGCGGGCGCAGGGGTTGACTCTCCGCCGCCGCAAGCGATGTGGGCGCGCCGCGGGAGAACTGCCGTTCCAGGCGTGGAGAATTGGAGGAGGCGCATCGGGACAGGGGGAGGCGCGCGCCGAAGCCGTCAAACCCGTCTTGATGTTGCGGCCGGCCGTGTTGAAGTTCTCGGAGGAGAGGACGAGGCCGCCGTACGTCTGCAAGGGAGGGGGGGTGGGGTGAGACGGCGGTTGGTGCCGCCGAGAGAGCGTTCAGCGTCCAGAAGAGAGCTCTCTGGGAGGGCGGCGGACGGGCGGACGCGGCGGACAGGCGGCAGGCGGTGCCTGCTCAAGCTTGACCATGATCGAGGTGATGATCGAGAACATGATGCCGAAGCCGCACACGAGAAGATAGCCGGCCCAGAGGGGCATAAACGCCCCAGTAAAGTTGCCGCCGTTGTGCTGGTCGTGGTCACCCTTGTAGCCAGTGGTGTACTCGCCTTTGTCATCGCCCGCAATCGCACGCCAGTTCACCGGCGCCATCCAGTCAATGGAGCAGACATCGATGTCGCTGATGCCCTGCGGTGGGCGCGGGCGCGGGTGGGCTTGCGCGCAGCTGGCGCAGCGCTGCAGCGATTTTGCTGCACCAGGCTGGTCGCGAGGTCGCACCAGGCACGGCATGTATCCTCTGGGACGTACGGGATGTAGGGCCCGCCATTGAGTAGGCGCGCTTGGCAAGCCATGGTGCCGCGCTGGTGAGCAGTCAGGCGGCAGCGGCCGGACGGTCGAACCGGCCAAGATGCGCTACCTGTCACTCTGGCCAAAGCGCCCGTCTGCGTGTGCCTGTCCCCCCGTTGAACCACGTCAACTCCTGAAAAGCGACAACAAAGACGGGCGCCTCAAGATTCGCAGTTTGGGGTCATCAACGACGAAAAGCTGGGCCGACGTTGATACCCGTTCCCACAACGACGGGTGATGCGATGTCTCCGCGAATGCGAATTTGCGCGCCGGGGGGGGGGGGGGGGGGACGGTTGTGTCACCAGGTCACCACGGTTCCGGGGTTCGGTCCGGGCGGAACGGGCAACTCGCTCGCAACTGCACACCAGACAGGCAGGAGCCCCACGGGCCACGGGCACGGCATTCACAACGGGGATGAACGTGCACATTTGTCAAGAGCTCAACCTCAAGGCCCACCGCAGTGGCGGCTCGAGGAGTGGCCAGTGCACGTGGCTCGTGCGTCGTGGGTGAGCGAAGCAACCCTGCCTTCTAACAAGGATGTGCCATTCGCCCCCGCTCACGCTTCTCTTCACATTCACACACACGGTCACATGAAGGACCTTGGACGGGCCACCTCAGAGTCGCCCTTTAAAGTACGTCTATAGTAGACCTCGCTCTCACCCCGCCGCCCGCCGGCTGCGGCAGACAGCGCAACCGATCGCAAACTCCTCACCATGCGGCGGGTGCCGCACGCGCAACGGGCAACGGCTCGCCTCGCAGCCGGCGCCGGCGACCCAGCTCAGCCGCCCGGCCATTTGCAGCGCGTGGCATCCGTCGCAAAAGTGCGTGCTGCCCCAGCAGAACCAGGTGGCGACCGAGCAGCAGTACCGGCACTTCCACACCACATTCTCTGGCCCATGCTCTGCACACGCCTCGCCTGCGTTAGCGCACGCGCCGCACAGCCGCCGCACCGCGCCGCCCTCACCGCCGCCCTCACCGCCGCCCTCGCCGCCGCCCTCGCCGCCGCCGCCGCCGCCGCCACCGCCGCCGCCGCCGCCGCCGCCGCCGCCGCCGCCGCCGCCCACACCGCACCGCCGCGCTCCGCCGCAGAAGATGTCAGCGCACTCGGCGCACTCGAAAAAGGTGTACGTGGCGAGCGCGTACTCGACCTGCGAGCAGACGGGGCGAGGTAACGAGGTGGGGGTCGGGCAGAGGCGACGGCGGAGGAGGCGCCAGTGTGGCGAGCATGGGGGGCTCTCCGTGCCCCGGTGACACCGTCTGCGGCCAGACCGCTAGTGCTGGGCATGTGTCTACTAGGCATCTAGAGCCCTTCGACCGGCCTGCCGTCGTACTCTCCCCCGGGCTCAACCTTGGCGCGCTCCTCCGCCGGCGCCGCCCGCAGCTGCGCGCGCCCGCAACGGCGCGTTGCCTCCCACAGCGCCACCCACCGCTCCGCCGCCGCCGCCAGCGCCGGGTTCTGGAGCGGCAGCTCGCCCGCGGCCCCGCACAGCGGGCAGCCTGTGCACACCAGCACGCACTGAAGAGACGCCGTGCAGTGGCGAGGTGAGCTCGTCGGCATGCGCAAGCCCAAGTGGGAGAATGTGAGCTCGGGGCCGGGGCAGCCGCGGGAGAGCGACTCGCGCGCGCACTTGGCGTGGCAGCGGTGACCGCACGAGTACTGCACCTGAGAGAGGCCGCTCGCGAACCTTCTCCGAGTGTGGGACCGCCCGAGCGCGGCGGCGGCCGCAAACACGCGAGAGCTGCGTCTCGGGTCATCTCGGGTCATCTCCGGCGGTCTTCGGCGATATCGGGTGATCTCGGTGATCTCAGGGTGATCTTTGTGATCTCAGGGTGATCTCTGGGTGATCTCGGACGATCTCGGGTGATCTCGGGGTGTTCTCGGGTGCACCGCGGGAGAGCGCTGCAGTGGCTCCTGGCAGATGACGCAATCCGCGTCGGCGCCGCCGCCGCAGCCCGGCACCACACAACCAAGGCAACCGGACTCGCCTAGAGGGGCTCCGAGAGGGCATACACACACACGGCTCTGAGCAGCACGCGGCGGAGGCCGCCAGGACTGCGCCCTCGACTCCGCCGCACCAGTGGCCGCACGGCAGCCGGCGCGTGCACGCCTAGCGGAGGGAGGCGGCTCGGTGGAGCGGCTCGGTGAGCCGCGGCGGCCCAGCCTCGGCTGCAATCTCGGTTGTATCTCGGCTGTATCTCGGCGGCATCTCGGCTTGCGCGTGCACGCCTCGCGCAGCGCCGCGAGGCACTCCGCGCCGCCGCACGAGCCGCGCAGCCGATCGTAGGCTCGCTCGAGCTCGCGCCTCTCCACGTGCGAGCGCGAGAGGCCGCTCGCAGCGAGCGCACTGAGCATGGTCGACACGGACGCGGACGCCGCGCCCGCACCGCCGCCGCCGCGCAAGCACGGCGCCTCGCCGCAGAGGTCGCACCTAGGAAAGTTCCGAGACGGTTCCGTGACGGTTTGTGGAGGGCCCTCGCCTCGCCGCAACGCCTAGCCTATGAATGGATGCTGTGTGTGTGTGTGTGTGTGTGTGTGTGTGTGTGTGTGTGTGTGTGTGTGTAGCCGGCCGCACTTTGGCGCGGCGTGCTCCTCGCAGGTGGCGCCCAGGTGGTAGGGCGCAGCATCACAGCGGCCGCAAAAGTCGCGAGAGCAGCCCGCGCAGCGCAGCCGCCAGGTGGAGGCGTGGAGAACCTGGTCGCGCCCCATCGCACGGCCGCCGGCGTCGCGCTTGAGCGCCCCAGCTGGCGCAGTACGTAGCTCCGGCACGGCGCACGCAGTCGGCCTCTCGATGAGCGTGCCGCAGCCGTGCGGGCAGGAGACGACGTTGGCGGTCTTCAGGAACTGCTGCAGACTTGACGCGTCCTCCGCGTCACGTCGTGCGGCGAAGGCGGCCTCCTCCTTCTGTAGCCGGCGGGCCAGCGCCTCGTCGTCATCCATCTGCCCGATCCTGGGTTCGGACTTTTGCGGGGTATGGTATGGTAGTCTCGCGCAACCCACCTCGAGACCATACCCCCCCCGCCTGCTGACAGACCCAGCCTCCCGGAGACCGGGGATGGGCGGTCAGGACCATACCCCCCCACCCTTTGGGCCGCGAGGGTACCATACCATACCCCGCAAAAAGTTGGAACCCTGTTGGCAGGCAGTGAAAAAAAGAATAACGCACGGCTCAGCGGAGCTGGGAAGAGGAGCGCGATCAGCGTGCCCATCATCGGCACGTCGCAGGCCGTCTGCGTCGCCTTCAGCGGCGAGAGCGAGGCACGAGCCTTCCTCGAGCACTACGCCGGCGGTGGCGCCATACAGCTCCCAGCTCCGGATGACATCACCATCCACTTCGTCGCTCTCGACGCCTCCGAGTGGGGCAGGCAGGCGGAGACGCGCGAGCTCCAGGCAGCGACGGAGTCCGACGGCCTCATCGCCATCCGCACCCGCGGCGCCATCAACACGGCCGCCCAGATCGAGCACTTTACCCCTCTGCTCCAGAAGCACTTCGGCAACGTCGTCTCCGTCCAAGAGGGATATCACTCTTTCCTGGGCGCCAAGTCGGACGAGAAGGACGGCTCTATCCTCTTCAAGGTGAAGAACGAGAACCTCGCCTGCAACCTCCCGGTCCTGCCCAACGTCTACGCGAGCGGCGATGTCGGTGGACCTCTCCGCCTCGATGTCGGGTGCGTCAAGGTCCTCGGCAACAATACTCTGCCCCTCCTGCCGCGCATTTGGGTTGACCAACGCCGACATCATCCACGACGCGCAGTGCGCCGCGCAGGCACTCACGAGGCCAGGCGCGCCGTAGCGGCGAACGTCGCGAAGAAGAAGACCTTCCAGAGCGTCATCATCCGACATCAACAAGGTCGAGGTCGCGCGCGCGGCGGGCAAGGTCAAGGCGATGGCGGCGCGCGACGGGATTGGCGTTTGCCCAAACTTCAACCAGACCGCCCTCCCGTGCAAGAACAGCGCTCGCTGCCGCTACGCGCCGTGCGTCAACTTTGAGGCGCTCCTCCACACCGCCTTCAAGGACACCGTCTACGAGCGCATGCCGAGTGCGGTCAGGCTGGGCACGAGCCGCGGGCGGCGCGCAGACCGGCGCGGCGGCCGCGGCCGCGGCGGCGGCGGCCGCGAGGTCAAGAGCAACAAGAAGGACTGGGCGAGCGTCGCTCGCGGAGCCGCCCGCTCCCCCTTGTCGAGCGTGTCGAGCGTGTCGAGCGGGTGTCGAGTGAGGAGTGTTGTCAAGGTGTTTAGCGTCTAAGGTGTCGAGGTGTCCAAGGTGGCAGGATGCAGTTGCAACAAAACTTGGGCAAGTTGCAAAGCTGTTTCATCCCTTAGTTGCAGCCTCTCAGTTGCACCCTGGATGTAGCACAACCTGTGAGCACAACCAGTATACTCTGCAGTGACTATGATAATCCTATTGCTCGTTACAGGTCTATTAAAAGTGAAGGCAAGCTAACACTGAAAGCGAAGCTAACAACGAGGTGTCGAGTCGGTGTCGAGGTTTGGTGTCGAGGTGTCGAGGCCAGGGCTCAGACGGAAGTCTTGGCACCAGCTGAAGGCTTGCACGGTCCAGATCGCCACATTTGCAGATCGTCACATTTGTGCACGGTATTCGGATTTTGCTATTTGTTCGTGTGGGGGTATATTGCAGATTTGTCAATGGTACCGCGTCTGCGACGCGGGCGCCTTGCGTGCAGAGCCCTTAGCCACCCTTTATCTCTTGCGCGGTCAAAAATCTCCGCCGAAGTTTCTCGAGGGGGATATCCTTTGTTTGGCCGTGTTGGGTATAGCGAGGATTGGTGTGACGCGATCCACCGGCAGGCGTGTTTGAGCAGGCGCACATCGCTTCCAGGCGGCGGCGTCAAGAAGCGACACGCACGAGGGTGCTCATCATCGGCGACACGAATGCTGAATACAATTCAAAAATCTTCTCTCTCTCGAATGCTGTAACGCGGAAATGGGTGGAGGAGAGAGGGCGGCAAATGGGGACGGCGGACATGGAAATGGATGACCTGCTAGAGACCGAACAAATGGAGTCGCTGGGCACGGGCGTCGCGACGCACAGGGGGTAAGAAGGCAGAAATTGATCATATCGACGCGCAGACACGAGCACGAGCAAGCGAGGCGGAGGTCATGCCAGGAGAGAAAGACGATCACAAGATTGTACACGCCGATATCATACTTCGCAGGGGGAAACGCTGACCAGATCCGGACCGCCCCAGCAGCAGAGAACTCTGGACCCAGCTCTCTTCGCCGCCGCCGCCCCCCTGGTCCATCGCCGCCCCCAGCATGTCTGCATGTGGTGAAAAGAGCCTCGGACCCCCCCCCCCCCCCCCCCCAGCATGTGGTGAAGGCGCTTGGGGGGTCAAGTCCCCCTAGCATGTGGTGATGCCTCTGGGGGGGTCGGAACCCCCCCCCCCAGCATGTGACAACCCATGTGGTGGGCACCCCCCCAGACCTTTGTGACACACAACGCACACACACACACACACACACACACACACACACACACACACACACACACACCGCACACACACACACACGTGCCACCCCCAAGAGTCCCCCGATCCTGTGTGTGTGGAGACGTTTTACCTTACCTTCTACCTTACCCACGATCCTGTCGCTGCTTGCCGTCTGACCTCTCTCATGGGTGTGTGTCACCGTGTGTATCATTCAAAAAAAAATGCCAAAGCCGACCCTACCTAAGAGCTAAGACTTTCCTACGGGGTGTGGAGGGTGAGTTGACCAAGGGGTTGTGCGCCAAGCCCTTTTGCTCGGCTCCAGCCGGTAGACAAGTCTTGTCAGCAACAGAGTAGATGGATCTGACCTCGGGGCCGATGTGACCAAGCGCTGGTAGCGTGGTTTTACCTCACACCCATGGTCTCACATGTACATGTGCCGGCAGTCGCCGAGCAGTGTCGCTCACACAAGCCGCAGCACAAGTGACTGAGGGCCAGTGAGGGCGAGCCCATCGCTGTCACAGCTGTGGCAGCCGCACAGTAGGCTGTGTCAACTGTGCAGAGTGTGTGAGCAGCAGAGGAGCTGCTCTCCAGGCTTCTGTCGCAAAGAGCTGCATGCCACCGAAGGCGCTGTCGAGGTTCGCCGAGCGCGGCGCAGGTTGGACGGGAAGCCGCCACCGACGAGCGCGTTGGACTTTTCACTCCGGACAAAAAACGCGGCACAGCGGACGGTGCGGGGCGTGCCGCAAACTTAGCGGCGAGGCGCGGGACCGTCTGTGGCGAGGTGGGTCGCGTCCTCCGATTTCCGTCAACCCAGCATCCACACCCTTTTACGTGGCTGGGTTCACAGCGATTGTAGGAAAATGTCGAAAACACTTGACGGTCGCGGCCTTCCGACTCGCGCCTCCGCCTCACTGGCACTATTGTAGCCCTGGCCGGTGCGCGTGCAGAGTTGAAGTTCCGGAGTAAAAATTCGAACGCGTTCTCTCACGGTGACCAAAAAATGTCCACCTCAGAGGCACCTCCGGAGGCAGGCCGCCGCACGCCGGCGACACAGCTCCAGCTGTCGAGCTGACCCGCAGCTCCTCTCAGAGCGGGAACTGTGACGAAAGTTGACTGAGGCGGTTGTCAGGAATCATCATACGGATCACATGGTGGCTCTCTCATGACGGGCAACCGCCCGACCACTCCTGGGTGGCACTGCCACCGGTGTCGCTCGACGTCCTGTCGACAGCGTGCCGACAGCGACACAGACCATGTGGGACGCGTCGAGTATCGACCTCTACTGCTTACCCAGCCTTCGAGTGTATCCTGACTGTGGTCCCACACCCACTGGTGTCCATCTCAGAGACCGCAGGAGGTCATGAGGGTCGATGGGAGTGCCAACCCCACAATGCCTAAAAACCCAGCCCAGTAAGAGTCCTAACACGAGGGTGGTCATCTGACATCTCCCATCTATGGCAGATGCCATCTCGTCCCACGATCTTGTGTCCCACACACTCACACTGGCTATTGACAATATGGTATTGACTATTGTGCAGGAGGGTGGTTTACGGCCTGTGAACTTTTTTAGCCGTCATGCCGGACAGCACCGTCCTGTATAGCGCTCCTACCGTATTGCACGCATGCCACATGTGCGTGCACATGCACATGGACATGTGCACGTGCATGTGCATGCACATGCACGTGCACATGTGCATGTGTGACATGTGCATGCACATGCACATGTTTCATGTTCATGTGCATGGGCCCTCTCGCCTCGGTGCAGGGCGCCGCGTGAGGCCCAACAGCAGCTCGAGCTCAAAAGTTGGCCAGCACGCGCTCCTCTGGGATGCCCGCCTCCTCCGCCATCTCCTTGATCGCGACCGCCATGCCCTTCATGCCGCACAGCAGTAGCGCGGTCGCCTTGGGGTCCGCAATGCCCTTTTCCCTCGCCACGTCCTGGACGTAGCCCGTGCAGCCCTCCCAGCCGGTGCCCTCCGGCTGCGAGATGACGGGCGTGACGCTCACGCCGAGCTCCTCCCACGCGGCAAACTTGTCGGTGTAGGACATCATCGCCGGCGTGCGCGCGCCGTAGAAGAGCTCGACGCTCTTCCCGTCGAGCGCGCCCGACTCGATGACGGATCGGATCGGAGAGATGCCAGAGCCAACCGCAAAGAGCAGGACGGTGGAGATGCCCTCGAGAGCGTCGTCCGTCTTGAGGAAGCCGCTCCCCATCGCCTGCGACATCTCGAGCGCGGCGCCCGCCGACGCGCCCGTCAGCCACCCCGTCCCCGGCGACCAGTCCGATGGTGGCTGCTCCTTGATTAGAAACTCGAGCGGCGAGGCGCCGGGCGCAGACGCGATGGCGAAGATGCCGGCCTTCTCGGCGCCAGGCTCGCGGATCTGGAGATACTGGCCGCCCTTGCCGAAGCCGTCCAGCGCCGCGTCAATCGTGATCGCCTTGAGTCCCTCACCAGCGTCGCTGATCGACTCGACGCTCTGGTCCGACCACACCGGGTCCGGCCCCCAGCCGAGGAGGACCCGGCCCGCGCGAGGCGCACGCACCGAGCGCGCCGCCGGCGATGGCGGCTGGAGCACCAGTCCGAGCAAGGCGACGCTGGGGACGAGGAGCGGCAACATATGTGTTTGTGTTTGTGTTTGTGTGGCGACGAGCGATGAAAATAACGCAGGCGCCACGGCATCGTGTTCGCGCTGCGCGAGGCTCAGACGGCGAGTTCGCGCTGCGCTAGGCTCAGACGGCGAGGGGCTGCCTCTTCCTATCTCTCTTCGCAGTCTCTCGCCAATCCCGCCTCCCAGATCCCTTGCTGGCCGGATTCCTCCTCCCAGTCTTCTCGGACTGGCAGCCACTATCTCACCGGAGGTACCATGTCCGAGGAGGCCACCGGCCAAAAGCGCATGTCTTGAAGGTCCGATACTGGAAGCCCATATAGAACCACATAGGCACCTTACAAGAATCCCCAGCGCCCCCGTCCCTCCCTCGTAGGCACAATCTCAATTTTTTAACAGTCGCGCACATTTTTCATTTGAGCTTAGCCTTCGATGTTATGAACATGGCATATCGCTCTCGGGCCCACAGACATCCCGCACACTCGCCGCACACCCGCCGCCCCCCGCGCGCGCCCCACCCCGGCCGGGAGAGAGGGGAGTGACAGTTTGGGACGGCAACAGAACGAGTATGTTGAGTCCTGCTCAACAGCGCAGAGTAAAGGACTTGGGTGGTCCGGCCCACAAGTCCGGCTCACGCGCCTCGACTGACCGATCTACCGCACTGAGCACTTGTGCCCCCCCGCTCCCAACCCATCCACCTCGCCTCGGGCCGCGCCGCGCGATCTCGGGCGATCTCGCGCGATCTCGCGCAATCTCGGAGCTCCACGCCACCCCACACCTCACCCACCGCCGCGCCGCGCTATCTCGGGCGATCTCGGAGCGTCGCTGATGAAGGACATTTTCTTCAAAGGTCTTCGAGCTCAGGCACTTCATGCCGATCAACAGCAAGCTGGTGCACCGAGTCTGCGTCGTCGGCGGCGGCTCGTGGGGCACCGCCGTCGCCAAGCTCGTCTCGGAGAACACCGAGCGCTGGCCCGAGTTTGAGCCGCTCGTGAAGCTCTGGGTGCACGACGCCGCGCTCGCCGCAACGATCAACGAACAGCACGAGAACACAAAGTACCTGCCGGGCGTCAAGATGCCGGACGCGGTCGTCGCCGAGGCCGATCTCTCCGCGGCGCTCTCGCTCGCCACGCTCGTGATCATCGCCGTTCCGCACGAGTTTCTGCACGGCGAGATCTTTCGCAAAATTCTGGTGGGCGGCGCTGCAAACTGCCGCGTGTGCTCGCTGGTCAAGGGGCTCGACGTTGTCGACGGCCGCCCGGCGCTCGTCACCGAGCGCATGAGGCGCGACCTGCTCGGCCTCGACGTCTCGGTGCTGATGGGGGCAAACATCGCCGCCGAGGTGGCGGCGGGAAGCTTCTGCGAGGCGACGCTGGGCGTGCGCACGGCGGAGGACGGGCCGGTGTGGCAGCGCGTGTTCAACCGGCCGTGGTTCCGCGTCAACGTCGTGATGGATGCAACCGGGGTCGAGCTCTGCGCGGCGCTCAAGCCGATCGTGGCGATCGGAGGCGAGACCTGCACAGACGCGCACGCACACGCTTCCACAGACGCGCACGCACGCACACGCACACGCTCGCGCACGCACACGCGCAGACGCGCGCAAACACACGCACGCATCACGCACATACATGCACCGGGCCTAGGACTCTCAACGCGTGCAATGATCCGACCTGCCCCTTCCCCTCCCCTCGCCTCAGGCGGCTTCTGCGACGGGCTCGGCTGCGGCGCAAACACAAAGGCGGCCATCGTGCGGGTGGGGCTCGAGGAGATGCGCCGCTTCTCAAAGCTCTTCTTCCCCCACGTCCGCACCGCAACCTTCTTCGAGGCGTGCGGCGTCGCCGAGGTTGTCGTCTCCGCCTACTCGGGCCGCACCCGCCGCTGCGCAGAGGCGTTTGCGCGTGAGGTTGCGGCCGGCGGGCCAGCGCCCAACTGGGCGGCGCTTGAGCTCGAGCTGCTCGGAGACCAGAAGCTGCCCGCGATGCACCGCCTCCGCGAGGTGATGGAGTGCGTGCGCGCGCAGGGACCGCGCGCGCAGGCGCGATTCCCGCTCTTCTCGGCCATCCACGCGATCGCGTTCCACGGCGCCCCCCCGAGCCGCGTCCTCAAGCTGCCCGAGAGGGTCGCGTGGCGACAGCGCACCCTGCGCCCCTCCCTGCTTGGAGATGGCCCCCTCGCAGTGCCGCTCCTCCTGCTGGTCGCAGCCGTGGGTGGCTTCGTCCTCGCCGTCGCCCTCTCCCACGCCGCCCCGGGACCGCTGCTGCAGCAGCTTCTCGCGCCGCCGCCGCCGCCGCCGCCGCCGCCGCCGCCGCCCAAGAAGCTGCTCTGGTTCCTCGGCTGAAGCAGCGACTGCAACTCCTCGGCCGAGCCGCGCGCGGCGGACCCCGGCGAGACACGGCAAATGAGAGCGCCGGTCGCTGCCTCCCGAGCGTGCCTCGCGGCGCACGCGGGAGCCGGGGCGCAACTCCGCGCCGCACACTGCGGTGCACTTTTGACAGCTTCATTCGTTCGCGCGGTTTCGGTGCGGGGCATGTGCCATGTCGCATGCGGGATTCCAGGGCGCGGCGCATGGAGTCAGGTTTGTTTCCATTTTTACCTCTTGCCAAGAGAATTTCTTAAAAAATACAAGCCTCTCTCTCGGAGCACACACATGGATCACGCTACGTCAATCGTCATTCCTCACATATGACGGGTTAGAAACTGTCCCGGATCCTGCTGAACAAGTTCCTCTTGTAGCTCGATCGGTCACACCGCCATCGCCGCCGACGTCTCCCAGTGAGATGAGGATGGAGAGGGGGGACCGGGGACGACACTGCTCGATCTACCCTCTGGGGTCCCTCAGCAGCGTGCACCTCGATCCTGTACCGTGTTTGTTATGACCCCCCCCAATGAACACACCAGTGAGGGTGGGCGAGACGATCGAGGGGTTGTACCATGCGGAATCGACCCGGTATCCGGTGCTCAAGTGCTCAAGGTTAGAAACATGTGCAGCACACTCACTGGCACGACAACCGACAAGCCGAAGCGGGCGCGGACTGGCGCTCTGGCGCGGACGGCTCCCGAGCCAATCGTGTGCAGCGTGTGTTTTCGTGTGGGCCCGTCCTCCATGCTTGGAGGTGTGTAAGAATGATGTCGCGGGCTCGCCGCGTTCCTATACACAACTCTCTATGGCAGCACCGCCCGACCCGCGGGGCGTGCGTAAGGATGTGGGCTCCAGACGTCCGCGGCGTTCGTCTGCGGCGATCGCCGTCGCTACGACAGTCACTCTGTCTCTCATCGTGCTCTGTCGTCTGCGCGAGGGCCAGTTCGTCTCATCCGTGGCTCCCCGTAGCGGCAGCGCTGCGGCAGCGGCTCCTCGCAGCGGCAGCACTGCGGCAGCGGACCCTTGGCCGGTAAGGGAGCAGCTGAGCGATCCGCTTGATGAGATGGAGGAGGACGCGGTGACCGGGTTTCGCATCCCGCGCGTCTGGCCGGGCTCTGCACTCGCCGACGAGGCGCTCGACAAGTTCGTCCACACCCTTGCGGGCCATCCGTCCATCCAGCTCAACATCGCCTCCTACCGGGACTGGCAGTGCCGCTCCACCATCGCCTCGGCTCTGTCGCGAGCGACGCACCCAGGCCGGCTCACTGTTGCTGTGGTGGACCAGGTCGTGCCCGGCGACACCGGCTGCGATGTGCGGTGCGGACATGACCTGTCCGCTGCGGACAGGTCGGAGGACGTGCTCTGCGCGCACGCGAGTCGCATACACGTCTACAGGATGGACGCGCGCAATGCCACCGGGCCCATCCTGGCGCGGCATGTGGCTGGACGAATGTACCGGGGCGAGGCGTTCGTGCTGCAGATGGACGCACACAACGAGTTTGTGGCCGGCTGGGACGAGTCCATCCTCGCTCAGTGGCGGGCCACGCGCAATGAGTATGCCGTCCTGTCAACGTACCTCACCGACCTGCAAGGCTCCATCAGCAGCGCGGGCCACTCGCAGCGGTCCACGCGCCCGATCATGTGCAACTCTGCCTTCGAGGGCCCGCCCGAGGCCTCCTACCTCCGCCACGGCTCGCAGCCAGAGGAGGTGCCCAAGCTCTCGGGCGAGCCGATGCTGCAGCCCTACTGGGCGGCCGGCTTCTCCTTCTCGCGTGGCCACTTTGTGGTGCGCGTGCCGTACGACTGCTGCTTGCCTTTTGTCTTCCAGGGGGAGGAGATCTCGATGGGCGTGCGGGGCTGGTCGCACGGTTACGACTTTTACGCGCCCGCCTCGTCCGTCATGTTCCACGAGTACGCGTCGCACTCCAAGCGGCGCGGAGGCGTCAAGATGTTTTGGGAGAACCAGCGCGACCGGACCGTGCAAGCGGCTGCGATGCAGCGGCTCATCGCCCTCGCCCACCTGCGGCCGGAGCAGCCTCCGTCGGGCGCGTACGACGGCCGCCTCGCCGAACGGTACGGCATCGGCCGCAAGCGGCCCATCTCGCTCTTTTACCGCCTCTTCCAGATCGACCGTGCCCGTCGGCGCGCTCAGCCGCTGTGCGAGCTTGTGCGCTCCGGCCAGATGCACCGCGCGTTTGTGCACCACTTGCGGCCCGACGGGAGGGGCATCGACTATGACGGCCTCAAGGACTTTGACTGGAGCCAGCAGCCGGGCGGCACCGAGGGCCGCGCTGCTGGCCGGCGTCCGACCGCCTTGCCGCGCCTGCACGCCGCCAGTGCCCTCGCGATTCGGAGGAGGTACGCCTCGGCCGCACAGGGCCTGGTCGCGCTCAACGGCAGCGCGTGCGCCAGGCTGCGCCGGAAGCGCACATGCCGGAGCTTTGCCGTCAGCGATTGCGCGCCGGAGCGCAGCGGCCCGACTGCGGATTGCTGCACCGAGGCGGAGCTGCGCGAGGAGGCGAGGGGAGGCCCGTCGGACGACGCGCTCCTGCTCGACAGGATCGTGCTGCAGCCCGCGCCGACGCGCCGCTTGAGGCTGCTGTGTGTGGTCTCCACGTTTGCGGAGCGGCATGCCCTCGCGAGGGCCGCTGCGAGCAGCTGGCTGACTCAATGCGACGGTGCCCTCGTCCTCTCGGATCGCGACGACGAGAGCGTGCCGGCGACGGGCGTGCCCCACGCCGGCCCCGAGGGGGCCGAGTCGTGGCAGAAGAGCCGCGCCAACTGGAGGGTGCTGCACGCCTTGGTGGTGCGAGGCAACGCGTCGTACGACTACGTCGCCTATGGCGGCGACGACTACATCGTGCTCGTCGACAACCTGCGCTCCCTCCTCGACAGCGCGCCGCTTCGCTCGCAGCACGAGCGTTCGGCGCCGCTCTTCCTCGGACGCCGGTTCACTTCCTGGCGGCTCCAGCACGCGTCGCTCTCGCACTTCAACGCCGGCGGGCCCGGAGTCGTGCTCAACTCTAGATACGCAACACGGACCCGCGTACTTCCGATCATCACTCGAGAGGACACGGCTTCGGCTGTGTTTGGCTGCGTTCACTGTACTCGCGCCCTCGGTATTCCGCGATGGAGACACTGCACACGAACTCCGACTCTGGTGTTTTGACGACGCAGGTGCTCAACTCGCACGCGCTGCGCCTTCTCGGCCCGCACCTCGACGAGGCGGGAGGCGCGCCGCCTCGCTCGCCCTGCCTTGCCGAGTCGGAGGGCGAGGACGTGGCCATGGCGCTGTGCCTGCAGACGTTCGGCGTCGCTCCGAGCGAGACGAGGGATAGCCTCGGCCGGGAGCGGTTCCACCCCTTTTGGCCGGCTCATCACTATGCGTTGCGGAGCGAGCACCTCGCTGCCGACGATTGGTACCGCCTCGCGTCGCTCAACTTGTCCTTTGGCGCGGACTGCTGCTCGGCGAGCAGCGTCGCGTTTCACTACGTACGGGGCGAGGACATGACGCGCGTGTTTCAGCTGGTGTACGGCTGCCGCGCGGGAAGGCGGTGAGGCGAGGATGCGCGCACGCGCTGGCGTTATGCGAGGCTCGGTTGGGCTACGCAGGTCTGCGGGACGTGCCGTTGTCGGCCGGTGAGGCCCCAAACATGTTTTATTTTCACAGGTTTTCTCCGTCTTCCTGCCTTGTGTAGAGCCTAGCCTGTGAAGCATATGGAGCGCAAGCACCTGTTTGGCCCTTGCACGTGCACGTCATATGCTTGCCAAATTGCTTGCCAGGAAGGCGCGATTTAAAGGGCCTTGGCTCTTTCGCAGCAGTATCCGAGCCGGCGCGCAGAACCTCCACTTCCGTGTGCGTTGCACTCGTAAAGCTTCGGACCTGCCTCACCGCCGGGGGCAAGGCAATGAAAGAGCGGAAGCTGAGGTTGGCGGCTATGCTTGCGAAGGTGTTGTCGATTGGCTCCTCGAGCGGCAAGGATGCCTCGAGCAGGCGGCGCGCGGCCGGTCGCTGCACCGCGTATCCGTGCAAACAGAGAGGGAAGACGGCTTCTCGCCATCTGAAGTGTCGGCCTCGGTCGATCCATTTTGCCTGGTCACTGCATCGTTCCTCGCAATACCCGAGGTACAGAACGTCAAAGGGAGGCGGCATCGTTAGCGCCGAAACCATCCATTCCGGGGAAATGCGAGCGTCGTCCTCCAACACGATGCCAACCCTGTGCCTCGAGCGTACAAACGTTCGCATCGCGGTCAGGTGGGATAGCGCGCACGCGAGACGGCCCTGGCTGGGACGACGGTACCAGGCCGCGCGCTCGGAGGCCGCTCGCTTGAAGTACGATTCGCCCACCGTACCGTTTGACACCATTTCCGTCACCGTGTCAAAGTCCACGCGCCTCTTGTCGAAGGCAGGAAGCACCTCTGACCGTTTGTCAATTTTCAGTGAGCGCAGATGCGAGACGATGCTACCTCGTCGTGCCGATAGTGCTATCACATAGATCCAAGCGTCGATGCGAATCAGCGACGCCAGCAGTGTACTGGGCATGGGAACAATGGCGATCTGACAGGGGTGCAGGGCTTTTGACCGGTCGGTGGCGCCGTTTTCATTATGAAGAAAAACTCCCGCGACGCCGCCGTCTCGCCTACGTCGCCGCCGCTATCAGGCCCATTCATGATGCAGGCCCAGCCCACACCCCTGGCTCCTATGCCGACGTGTCCCGCGTGCTCCCCCGTCCGCCGATGTCTCTGCTGCCGCCCGCCGGAGCACTGCAGCGGGCGGGCCCTCCTCGCCGCTTTGGCTGCCGCTGCATCGCTGTCAGCTGGTCATTTCTGTCTACGGTCATATGGGGGCGCCATCGCTGTTCTCTTTCTCCTGGGGTCAGCTCCAAGCTGCCGTGTGGGGAAGTTGCCCCTTGGGTTCCCCCCCCCCCCCCCCCCCTCTCGCCGCGGAACTGCATGCTGCGATTCTCGCCCCTTGTCGCCGGAGCCAGGTGCGTGTGTCTAATCGTAGTGTGGGGGCCCTGGCCCCCCTCCGTTTTCTGTTTTCTGTTTTTCACAACGCCCGCCCGCCCGCCACCCCGAGGCGGCTCGGCCCCCACTGACCCAGAGATCGCAAAAACGCTCGGCCCTAGCTGTACGAGAGCAATGCCGTAGGCGGCGGCCGTAGCATACACTGCGAGCACACTCGGTGCAGCTGCGAGGTGCAGCAAGAGCACGTCGTTCCTGCCTCTGCTGCCACTCTCGCGCACCTGAGGCAAACCCCAGTTTGGGACCTATTTGAGGCGGTGTGGCGGCACTCACAGGGCACGGGAAGCTCTCCCGCCGCGTCTGCGTGGCCCGCCCGAGCCGCGGGGAACGGCGCGCGCCCCTCCCGGCGGAGCTGGGTGCGGCAGATGGGCCCACGGGTCGGTTCCGGGCCGATTTGGGGCCGTTCTGTGTAGTTCTTGGTCAAAATCGAGCTACACAGTTGAAACTCTCGCCCCAACGGATACTTTTTGATTTTTCTGGCCACGATCGTCGACCGGGCCCGTGAGGCCACGGGAACGCCCTCGGATTGTACAGCACCCTCCACTAGCCACAACCGTGGGCCCTCAACCGCGTATCGGTGTCGCCACAAAATAGCCTTCAGACGCTGTCTCGTCGTTATAAATCGGCCAATCTGGCCCCTCTGCCACAAGATTTGCTTTGGAACGCACCGTAGCACGGTGGAGTCGAGATCCGGCGCGCAACCATCAAAAGTATCATCAATCGGGCCCGGCTAGACCTGCCACCGGAGGCGCGCAAAATGGAGGCGATTTTGTGGTGGTAAAGGGAAATGGCCAGAACGGGGCGCCGCGCGCTCGGGAGCCCTCGCCGCTCGCAGGCCAACTCCTCCCCAGCACGGTGCGTGCGTGCGCTGAGGTTGAACTCGATGCCGCGACTTCACAGCCTCCGTCGCTACCCAACGCGGCCAAAGGATATCTAGATATCCATTTCGAGAACCTCGAGAACTCCGCCCTCGGCGCTGAACTGCGCCTCACCACTGACCGGGAAGGCCGCCAAGTGGGCCAGCACCGGTCGCACATTGTGGCAGCAGTCAGCAGTGCATGTCTGATAGGTAGAGCAGCAGCGTCAGGGTCGCAGGGTCGCATCGTGTCAAGCCTCTCGCCCGGCCGGCCGCGTGCAGACGTTGGCCTGTCTGCTGATTTTTGGAGTGATCAGTCGGCGGTCAGTACGACCGATCAGGTTAGAGTTTTCTCATGATTGGAGGGTCTATCTGTGTGTACTCCTCGAGATCTCTCCAAATCTGCCCTCTGTTAGACCGGGTTAGATCGGGAAGTTGGTAGTATGAGCGAGTATGAGCGCTGGGGCCCCGTTTCCGCACTGCTGCACGGCGCACGGTGCCTCCGGGGGCCCCCGCCTCCCCCCAGAGCTTAGGACGGGTATTAGCGGGTGTATGATTTCTTTTAGGCTGCATACATGTTTCCTCGCTCACCCCCCGTCTCGTTTCCTTTCCGTGTTTCTCTACAACACCCTCTCTCGTTTCCTCTCTAGTTTCCCGAGGAAACTCCGTGGAAATCAGCTGGTTTGGGCCCAAATCAGCCAAATCAAGCCAAATCGGCAAAATACCGGGGTATTTTGCCGGGTTTCTCGGTTTCGCCTCAGATTTTGCCCCAGACTAGCTCTCAGACTCAGGCCTCAGGGGAAACTCGAGAGTTGTCAGAATGGAGCTCCAAACACCCTCTGGTTTCCCTGCACCCTGGGTTTCCCTGGAATTCCGGAAACGAAAAGTGCTGGGGACCCTCTCGTTTCCTTTTTGGTTTCCGGAAAGGTGTATGCAGGCCAAATTCCTATTACTGACACTGGTTGGGTAGTAGTCTAAGTTCTGAGCCTCGAGGCTGGACGGGTCTAAGTGTGGCTAGCCACGCTGGAGTGCTTGCGCGGTCTAAGATCAGCGGGAGCCTCTTACATCGGCTAAGTCGGCCGTGGCACGGCCTGGGGCCAGGAGGCTCCCACCGTGATCAACGATACGGCGCAGCCCCCAAATTTTCTTCGCCTGCGGAGGGCGATGGATCCTCTTCATGCTTAGCAATCGCCGCCTCAGCATCCTCCTCTTCCGATTTTCGTTGCTGCTCCTTCATTCTTGAGCGACGTCTAGCCAAACAGTTCTCACATGACACGAAGCTCCTCAAGCTTAATCAAACGCGTGACGGTGAAGCCTGTGTGTGCTGGTCCTCTTTGAACGATCCGCGCGTGAGGTAGCATAGGGCCTTGTTGGCAGCAGCCAGCTTGTTGCGCTGCTTCGTTGCGATGAGCTGATTGGGATCGCAGAAGTGCATGCCAAGCACCGCCACGATCTTGAAGCAGAACACATCGCAACCGCATCGTTCGCACTGCCATCGGCATGCCGCGCCCGCCGCTTCGCCGCAGCCGCCTTAAGGCACGCATAGCGGCAGCACATGGTGGGGGGGGGTACTTGAGCAGGCGTTGCGCGCCGCAAGTAGCGCACTGGCCCTGGGAGAAGGCGATATGGCGTCGTGCGCGGCATACGTTGGTCGGGACGCGTCCAGGTATTTCGGGTAAACCTGGAGGCTTTTCAGGTATTGCAATATACCCGGGTTTTGCCCGGAGTTGGCCTTATGTCGTCTAAGTTCATGGCCCCCGACCATACAGCGTCTAGGTCCGAGCCCGGCTCCGTGTGGGGGCTAAGTTGAGCGCTCGCTCGCTGCAGAGGCTAAGTGTAGAGCGACCCTCTAGCCCTACTACCCAACCATTTTACTGACTGACTGATGTGGTGATGCTGATGTCCCGAAAGTTGGGATGGTTCCTTATAAGGTACGAGCAAAGTCGAATCCTTTTGAGAGAGGGAGGTGTGACACAAACACACACACGCACACACACACACACACACACACACACACACACACACACACACACACACACACACACACACACACTCGGACACACACACGTGCTAGCCGTCGCCCACCCTGCCTGGCGCGCCGCTCCGAGACATGTCATCTCCTGGGGAGATTGGCGACAACCCGACGGGCAGACCCCGCCCCGCTCGCAGGGCGTGGACCACACAGCACACACCTTGCGCTCCTTTCTCTCTTCGCACAAACCACCACTGTAAGGTGCCCTATATGGGCTTCCAAGTATCCGGACCTTCAAGACATGCGCTTTTGGCCGGTGGCCTACTCGGACATGGTAACTCCGGTGAGATAGTGGCTGCCAGTTCGACACTGGGGCCGATCGAACTTGAGTTGTTCGGAGGAGGAAGAATCCGGCCAGCACGGGTACAAAGAGGGGTACCCGGAGAATCCCCAGCTGCGGAAAGGTAGTGTCGCTCAAGAGGTGCGATACTGCGGGGGGGTGTATGTAAGGTGCCTATATGGGCTTTCAGTATCGGACCTTCGAGACATGCGCTTTTGGCCGCCCGAGATTCCAGGAGCACTTGGAGCACTTGGAGTGCAGTCGGTAACCTCACATCCAGGGCCGGTGAGCTGAGAAGCGCATCCAGCGGGCCGGATGATCGGTATCGGGTTACGGGCAAGAGAGCCCTAGCCCCGGGGCTGCGCGTTCGCAGGCAGCATTTCTCTTTTTTCGGAAGGAGGCATACGCCTCTGGCTGCGATGATACCACCGCCACCACCCGCACATCTGTCGATGAGGGCGGAGATCGAGTGGCTAGCTGGCAGCGCGGACAATGCTCGCGGCGTCGCTCTCGCTCTGTCGTCGAGGCGCAAGCGGCCCGCCCTTGCGCCCGTCGCTGCGCCCGCACAACGATCCACTCAATGTAGCCCTCCCGCGCCCCGCAGCCTCTTCATTGGCGCCTCCTTCATCATCAAGAAGAAGGGGCTGCTCATGTCGGTCGAGAAGGGCGGCAGCTCTGCGTCGGCGGGTGGCTTTTCGTACCTGCGGCAGCCCGTCTGGTGGCTCGGCATGCTGACGATGATCGGCGGCGAGTCGGCCAACTTCATCGCGTACGCGTACGCGCCCGCTATTCTGGTGACGCCCCTCGGCGCTGCCACCATCGCCGCCTCCGCCGTCTTTGCGCGCTTCTTCCTCGGCGAAGACATGCACATCTGCGGTGCGCGCCGCGCTCCCCCGGAGCGTGTGTGTGTCTCTCCGTCCGAGCCAGAGGGAGGGGGAGGGTCCGTGGCGAGAGCCCCACGGGGCTTGCCCCACGAGTGCCGCGCCGGCCCCTGCCGGCTCAGCTGAGGAGTGCGCGAGCTCCTCTCCCCCCCGGGACCTCGCCGACCTCTCCTCAGGTATTGCAGGGATCCTGCTGTGCACCGTCGGCACGGTCGTGCTGGCGCGGTTCGCGCCGGAGGAGGCGCCCTTTCCTAGACCTGTCCTGGACCTGTCCTGGAGCCTTCCTGCAGGTGCGGTTCGCGCCGGAGGAGGCGCCGGTGACGAGCGTCGAGGAGGTTTGGTCGATGGCGATGCAGCCCGTCTTCCGCGCGTATGTCTGCTTTGTCCTCTCCTTCACCCTCGCCCTCGTGTATGGAGCGGCGCCTAAGTACGGAAAGGCGAGTCGCTCGCAACCACCCCTCCCCCGCCAGCCGCCGTCTCCTCCGCCGCCGCCGCCACCGCCGCCGCCGCCCTCTCTACGCCGCCTCGCCGCCTCCTTCGCTCCCCTCCCCTCCACAAACCCGCCCGCCTCGCCTCCTCCCTCCCCCCCCCGCCCCTCATCCCACCTCTCCGCCGCACAGACTCGCGTCGCCCTCCTCGTCGCCTCCCCTCCCTCACCTCCCTCCCGGCCCCGCCCGTCTGCCAGACTCACGTCGTCGTCTACGTCGCCATCTGCTCAATGATCGGGTCGCTGAGTGTGATGGCGCTGCGCGGGATCGGTGAGAGATAGGGAGATTTGGGGAGAGATAGGGAGATGGCGCTGCGCGGGATCGGTGAGAGATAGGGAGATTTGGGGAGAGATCGGGAGATGGCGCTGCGCGGGATCGGTGCCGCACCCGCCATGCCACCCTCCCTCCCCTTCAAGCCCTCCTCACCACTGCCCTGCCGCCGCCCGCCCATCCCTGCTCCGCGCGGCAGGCATCGCCGCCAAGCTGACAATGCGGGGCTCGGACCAGCTGCGCAAGCGGGAGACGCTCTTCTTCATCCTGTGGGTCGGCTGCTGCATCGCGACGCAGATGAACTACCTCAACAAGGCGAGATGTAGCCGAGATGTAGCCGAGACAAAGCTGAGATGTGGCCGAGATGAACTCCCTCAACAAGGCGCGCTCGGTCGCACTTCTCCAGACACGACGATCGCACGGCCACACACACAGAAGCACCAGCACACAGTTACATATAGACACTCGTCCCAGCCCCGGCACTTTGCACCGCCGACGCGCCAGCAGCCCCGCTCCTCACCGCTCCTCACCGCTCCTCACCTCCTCCAACACCCCCCCCCCCCTCCCTCCCCTCGCCTCTCCCTCCCCTCCAGGCGCTAGACACCTTCAACACCACGATGGTCTCGTCCGTGTACTACGTCTTTTTCACCGTCTGCACCGTCACCGCCTCGATGATCATGTACAAAGACTGGGAGAACCAGACGCCGGGCTCCATCTTTTGGCAGGCAGCCCAACACCCCCCCCACCCCTCGCGGCCGGGGGGGCCCCGCGCCTCCCGCGCCCCTTGGAAAAATGGCCACCCCCGGAAACCCCCCCCCCCCCCCCCCCGCTTCCCCAGCCCTCCCCTCACACCTTCCAAAACACCCTCCCGCGACACTCCCGAGACACCCTCCCAAGACCCTTCTCCAACCCCCTACCCCCCCCCCCAAACCCCCCTCCAGGTCGTCGCCCTCCTCGTCAACGTCGCCGGGGTGCACATCCTCTCGGGGACCAGGGACTCGGCGCCCGGCTGCCGCGCCGGCCTGCGCGCGCTGCTCTCGAGGAGAAAGTCCGAGGAGAAGCCCGAGTACACCCACCTCTGCGCGTGCGACGACGACGCGGAGCAGCAGCAGCAGCAGCAGCAGCAGCAGCATGGCGGCGCGAGCAGACGCGACTGGCTCGAGAGTAGACACTGATCAAACGCAGGAGGGCGCAGAAGTGCTGCACTTCTGCACAGCGCTGCATTCTGTTTAGGGGGCAGGGACCCATGACGGTCGGGCACCGAGATAGAGATGATTCATCAGAGAGTTTTGCGCACGCGTGTGTGCGAGCGAGGCCACGTGCACCAAGCCAGCTCACAGGACTCAGGAGTTCAAGTAGCGTGAGCATAATATTACTTCAGCCTTCAGGGGACCAATATAACGTGTGCATGCCGGCGCCGCGCACGATCAGGGCGCCACTTTCGGCGACGTCCGTGTTCCCCGCGTTTTGCACACGTCGACACATGGCACCGACGCAGCTCAGCATTGTGCTGGAGCGCCTGCTCAACGAACTCGGGATAGCCGACCTTAGCGGTGTACGTTCGAGGCTGTGCTCATGCACGATACAGGCGCGGTGCTCGACGCGATCCGAAGCGCTGCTGCAGCCGCAGAGGCTGGTGCGGCGGCTTATGCCAGCTCGGCCACGAGCAATGTTGTTGTGTCCCCAGGCAGCACTGCTACCGCTGGCGTAATCTCTGTGCAGCACAAGTGAGCGAATATAGTGATAGTGAAGAGATATACGTAGCGTTACAGTCGTCGACCCTCCCACCGTGTGGGCCGCCGGACCCCGGAGAGCTGCACAGCGCGTGCAGACAGCGTTGCGCGAGCATTGCCATTGGAGAGGCCAGCCTCCGGCTTCTCAGCGTGTCTCGCGAGTGCTGGCGGATCTCTGTCTGCCTGGTAGCTGGGTGTGATAGCGGGCTCTCTGGAGGTTTTGCTTACAAATTTACGGATTTACGGATTTACGGATCCACCCCCCTCCCCCCCCCCCCCCCCCCCGCGTCCCCGTGACCCCTGGACCCGGCCGTGAGACGCGCATCCGGGAATCAAGTTGGTGCCGGCGGGGCGTCTCGCTCTCGGCGTCTACCCCCGATCTGGCGAGGTACTCCCACGCCTCTCGGGGTTTGTGTCTGGCCGAGTGCTGGGGCGAGCCTCGGCGAGACTGCGTCAGCTGTTCCCACAGCAGGCTGGAAGTACCTCGCCAGCCCCCGATGACATTCGCGCGTCAAGAGATGCGTGTGAAAAAGACGAAAACGCAGCTTGTAGACGGTGCAGTGGTTGCACGTCTCGGACAATCGTGCTTTTTTATGTAAACTGTAGAAACGCAAAACCCTGTGGGATCACACCGACGCGCGGGGCCGGCGACGAGACTCGCCGTCGGCCTTTCACGCCTCAGAACTTCACCACCTTCGCCCTCTTCCGCGTGGGCTCGGCGCTCCTCGCCGGCGCCTCGGCGGCCGACTCAGACGGCGGCGCGGCGGCGGCGGCACTGCTCTTGCCGCGACCGCCCACCGCCGCGATCTTCCAGCTTCCGTTGTGCGTCATGCCCTTGTCCGCCGCCGCGCGCTCCGCCGCCGCGTCGCGCTCCTCCTCTTTCAGCGCCGCGAGCCGCTCAAGCTCGGCCACCTAGCACGCGTAGGAGGCGTCAGGCGCCTGGACCTCCCCCGCCCCCTCCCTCCCTCCCCCGCCCCCTCCCTCCCCCGGCGGGGTGCGCGCACCAGCCCCTCCGCCTCCACTTGGACCTGCTCCACGCGGTGCGCCGGCTCGCCGGGCGTGAAGGTGCGCGCCTAAAGCGAGACACTCGCGTGAGGCAAGAGTCGGCCGGAGGAGGTCCGCCCGGCGTCGAGCGGCGCGCCACAGTGCAGCATCCGCGCTCCGACTCGCGAGGGCCAACCTGCGGGGCGCGGGCGTGTGGGCAGGGAATCCCGAGCGGGAGCCTCACGGCGGGCGAGCAGCGGGAGCAAGTGCCGCACGCACGGTGCATGCGTGCGTGCGTGCGCGCTCGTGCGTGCATGTGCGAGCGAGAAACGCACACGCACAGTGCGCGTGGGTGCGTGTGCGTGCCCACCTCGACCCGTAGCATCGTCCCGCGGTGCTCCCAGTGCGCAAACTTTTGGCCGGGCGTGTACTTGTGTCCCGCGTCCACCTCGACGCGCTTGCCCGCCTGGCGCGGGGCGTAAGGGCACGAGCCGCGGGCTCACGCGGGCGGTGCGTCGGACACGGGGCTAGCCGGACAGCCGCAAAGTGCGGGCGCATGCCTCAGCCAGCATCCGCTGCACGTCAGCACAGACGGTGAGCACCTTGCCGCGCTGGCCGGCTTGGCCCTTCCAGAAGATGGGCACCACAACAACCTCCGGCGCACCCTTCTTCTCCTTGCGCAGCTTCTTGCCCAGCTCGCGCTTCGCCTGTCGCACACCACGGCGGTGAGCACAAGCGGCATCGAGGCGGCGCGGCGGCGCGGCAGCGGCGTGGCACGCCTGCAGCTTGGAGGCAGCGCGCTCGTCCCACTTCCGCCGCTCCTTGGGCTTGCGCTTGCGCTGCCTCTTTGTCGGAGTGTACTCCTTGCCCTCTGCCCGCAGCGCGAGCGCCTCCTGCTGCCGAGCCCGCTGGAGGGCCTTGCGCGTCTGCTCGCTCTCAGAAACGGCGCTGCTGCTGCTGCTGCTGCTACCCTTGCGCTTCCTCGCGGCGCTGGACGCTTCGGCGGACCTGGACGCGCCAGGCTTCTCCGATTTCTTCGTACAAGGCTGCGTGGCTGACTTGACCATCGTCCCAGGAAAATAAGTTTTGCGCCCGGGTGCCAGTTTGGGGGGCAAACCCTGCCCGCCCCCTAGGACCCCGGGTAAGGCCCAGGTGTGGCCTAGGGCATCAGAAGGGACCAAGAGGAGTCCAGTCTGAGCCATAGAGCCCATGTCTTTGCCCCCGAAGGTCGCGTCCAAATGCCCGGAACGGACGTTACAGTGGTGTCCGGCCGGCACGATCACCGAGCTGTGACGCTCAGGGAAGCCTGATGAGGTGCTGGTTTCTTTGCCCAGGGCTGGCCTACGGCCCATGCTGGATCAGCTGAGCAAGGTTTGGGGAGAATCCCCCGGACAGATCTTCAGATACCGTTTTGACGGATGACCGAAAATGGGCATCAGTAACCAGCCTCCGGCGCGCGGCGGGGCCCCCCGCTACCATCCAAACCCGAGTACCGGTCTACTATCATAGGTAGAGGCTCAAGTGTGACATATAAGTCCACACCCATACACATGCACAAAGCAACTCTCACGGCACACGGGCACCGGGTGGAGCGGTGGCGGCGGCGGCAGCAGCACGCGCGGGCGGACGGATTCGGACGGGGCGGAGCAGCGACTGCCTGGGCGGCCGCTGCTCTGTCTGCCAGAGCGCGCCGTCTGCCTGCGCAGCTCGAGCGCGGTCAGGTGCGAGGACGCGTGGCGGCGCGGGGAAACGCGGCGGCGGTGGCGGCGGCGGCGGCGGCGGCAGCGGCACGCGCGGGCGGACGGATTCGGACGGGGCGGAGCAGCGACCGCCTGGGCGGCCGCTGCTCTGTCTGCCAGAGCGCGCCGTCTGTGCGCAGCTCGAGCGCGGTCAGGTGCACAGGGAAGCGTGGCGGCGCGGGGACGCGCGGCGGCGGTGGCGAGCAGGCGAGCGGCCCGCGCGCGGCGAGGCGGACAGGTGATCGGCAGGCGGGTGATGGGCCGGAGAGTGACCGCGCCCAGCGATCGGAGCGAGCCGATCGTCGCTCGGCCGCAGCTGACCTCGAAGGCGTGCGGAGCGCGACTGTCGGTGTCGGAGGGCGGCCGTCATGTGGCGAGGAGGGAGGACGACAAGTGCGCGTCGTACGGGTCGCTCTTCATCGGCCAGTCGAGCGGACGGTAGCGTCGGTCAAAGCAAAGAGGGCCGGTGAGGCCGGCGAGATTCGTTGCGAGATACGGTTCGCGCCCAAACAAGTTTGGACGCTCGGGGGACGCGCCGCAAAAACCAAAATCAAGCCCATGGAAAGGGGGCTTCTGGGGCGGCCAATTCACACCTCGCGGGACTACTTATGTTTTCGTAAACGTAGTTGTGGCCCCCCGCTACGTCGCACGAGTGCAACCGGGTAGCGGGGGGCTAAAAACGGGGTGATTTCGGTCATCCGTCCATATCACACGAGTTTTTGGACTTCTGTTAAAATATCTCCTCAATGACAATGTTCAGGCGTCCGCGCCGGAAGTGGCGCTACTGCGCTGTTCATCAACACGAGCTCGACGCCAACGGGAGCAGCGGCTCCGCGCCGCCGTTTGCTCCTCCCCGTGCCGCCGCCGCCGCCGCCGCCTCTGCCGTCGTCGTCGCTGCCCCCGCCGCTGCCACTGCGGCTGCCTCTGCCTCTGCCTCTGCCCCTGCCCCTGCGGTCGCCGCCGCCTCTGCCGCCGCCGCCGGCCACCGCCATGTCGACAGGCTCCCATTCTGAGATGGACGCCTCGCCGCCGCCAAGCGCCACCACCCTGACGGCCACCGCTCCGCCAGGCAAACAGTCGAGGAGCGCGGCCTGCTTTGGGCAGAGCTTGCCGGGCATATGCTTGCCAGAAGTCGAGCCAGGGTTGAGGAAGAGGACGCCTGACGGGTGCCTCTCGAGGCGCGGCACATGCGTGTGGCCGTACACGATAATATCTCCCTTTGGCCGCCAGCCGCCGGGCGGCCTGAGCTCGGACAGCACAACTTCGTCGTCCTTGTGTGCGATGAGGTCGCCGTGGTGAACAAAGCATCGAACGCCGCTGACGCTGTCCTCGTAGGTGGCAGTCGTCGGGCACCCGTGGCCGCCGTCGTACCTGTCGTCGGTGTTGCCACGCACAGCCGTGACTGGCGCCACCTCCCTCAGCTCCGCCAGCAGGCTCGACACCGTCTCGCCCTTCTTCTCACCGATCACGTCGCCCGCATGCAGGATGTGCTCGACGCCGGCAGCGCGGAAGGCGGAGAGCGCCTTCGTCCAGGCCGCAATCGACCCGTGGGTGTCAGAGATGATGCCGACCGTGGAGTGTGCCATTTGCGAGTTCAGTTTGGAGAAGGCGGGATTCCCGCCTTTTCTTTTATGGAACTTCGAACACAGCGTCTTGCTTGCCATAAAAACGTCCACCCATACCGCGTTGGTGTCCAGTCCGAGCCTGGCTGTTCTTCACCTTTCTACCTACCTACCTTTGCCAACAACCTAATACAGAGAGAGGCGCGCGACATTGGCCTGTCCGAGGGTTTCCTCTCGCACCCTACCTGGTTTCCTTTCCGTGTTTCCTGCTCGTTTCCCTACAACACCCTCTAGTTTCCTCGGGAAACCCCGGGGAAACTCCGTGGAATTCGTCATTTTTGGGGGGCTCTGAGCCGTGTCTGAGGCTGTTTTGGGGCCAAAATCGGCAAAATACCGGGTATTTTGCGGGTATACCTGGAAAACCCCGGTATACCTGGAAAATACCTGGGTATCGTGCCGATTTCCTCAATTTTGCCCCAGATTTTGCCCCAGACCAGCTCTCAGACTCAGGGAAACTCGCGAGTTTCCCGAGGGAAACTCGAGAGAAACAGAATGGAGCACCAAACACCCTCTGGTTTCCCTGGAAACTTCCGGAAACGCAAAGTGCTGGGGACCCTCTGGTTTCCCTCTGGGTTGCCGGAAACCCTCGGACAGGCCAAGCACTCACACTCACAGGCTAACCTCTAAATCTGCACCTTGGATGGCTGCGCTCCCTGTTTACAGCCATCGGTGCTAAAAGTGGCTGGCACGCCTAGATCTCAGCCATACACTCCTACCGGATGGCTGAGAACTAGGCATGCCAGCCATCCTTAATTCACATGGTTGCAATTAAAGCATCCTGGCCACTCCGCCTCCCAGCACGCGCCATTTTGGCTGCCTTCCAGCCAGCGAGCAGCGTAGCCATCCTCCGGCCGATGGCTGCGATGGCTGTGTCCCAGCCATCCGCCCGGCCGCAAGATGGCTGATATACAGCCGTCGCAGCCATTTGGCTGGAGGATGGCTGACGCGAATTCGACCCAGCCTTCTGATCTAGTAAGCTCAGCCATCCTTTACGGTCGATATGTGGCTGCCACTCCTGTATGACCCCCACGGCC